ATGAACGAAAAACAGAATCAAAAATCATAGATTGAAAAATTAATAATTAGATAATTATTGTAAAATCCAAAATTGGAAAATTATAAATCAGGAAAATCAAAAATCGAAAAAATGATAAATCTGAAGAATCGAAAAATTGACAGATTGATCAGTCAATAGAAAATCCGAAATGTTGAAAAATCTAGAAATTGAAATTTGAAAAAACGGAGTTAAAATCGAAAAATCGTTAAACTGAAATGGGAAAACTAAAATACGGAAAAGTTGAAAAACTTGAGAAGAAACGAAAAATTATAAAATTTATATTTTTAAAATCGAAGCATCCAAAAATTGCAAAATCAAAATTCAATTATTGAAAAATCTAAAAAATGAAAACAGTAAATTAAAAACTTGAGAATTGATTAAAATTGAAAAATGGCATAATTGAGAAATCTCAAAAATGCAGTCGAAATTGAAAATTGGCAAATTTTAGATTAAAAATTTTGAAATTGTAAAATCGAAAAATTACAAAATTGTAAAATTGAAAAATCTATGTTATCTAATACTAATAAATCGAAAATTATAAAAAACGGAATTGTTAAATTGAAAACTGGAGCATAAAATAAAAAATGGATAAACGGAAATATTGAAAAACTCAAAAAGATGAAAAAGCGACAAATCTTAAATTCGAAAAAATCTAGAATTGTAAATTCTATGACTGAAAAATTGAAAAACTAAATGATCGAAAAAATCGAAAAACTGATAAAAGGAGAATTAAAACTTGAAAATCAACTAAAATTGAAAAACCGGATCATTGAGAAAATTAAAAATTGAAAATTGTAAATTTAATGTGGTCGAAAAATACTAAATTTTTGAAAATTAAACATCCACTAATGAAAAATGAAAATCGAGAAGTCAAAAAGAAGAAAAACTGAAAATTCGAAAAGGTGAAACATTGAAAAAACCAAAATTTTTAAATTGAAATATAAAAAAATTTTAATTGAAAAAAAAATTGTTTATTGTAAAATAAAATATCGATAAAATCAAAAATCGGAAAAAGAAAATTTTAACAATCGAAAAATTAACAAATCGATAAATTTAAAAACGACAGAATGAAAAAAGTAAGTTAAAAACTTGAGAATTAATTAAAATTGAAAAATTGGATAATTGAGAAATCTCAAAATTGTGATCGAAATCTAAAATCGAAAAATCAAAATTGTAAAACTGAAAAATCGAAAAGTTGAAAAATTGAAAAAAAAAATTAAATTCGAAAAATTCTAAAACTGTGACATCGAAAAGATGAAAAATCAAAAATTGTAAAGGTAAAATAAAAAATTTGATATTTGTAAAATCGAAAAATACGAAATAGTAAAACTGAAAAATCAAAAAAAATATGAATTCGAAAATTAACTAGAATTCAAAACATTGCAGAATTGAAGAATAAAATATTGAAAAACAGAAAATTTGAAAAAATGAAAAATTACAACCTCGAAATATCGAAAAATTGGAAAATTGGCAAATTTTAAAATCACAAAATTGGTAAATTGAAACATGGAAACAGCGTAAAATAAAAAAATTATAAATGGAAAAATCGAACAACGAAAAAATGAAAAATCGAATATTTGCGAAATCTAAAAATGGCCAAATTGTAAATTTGAAAAATCAAAAAGTTGAAAAACTGAAACTGTTGAAACATAAAATATTAAAAAAATAAAAATTGAGTAACTGAAAAATCGAAAAGTAGAAAAATAGAAAAACCAAAAATTCTGAAATCGAGCCATCGAGAAATTGAAAAAACAATAATCGTAAAATGAAAAACTAAAAATTCGCTCATTGTAAAATCGAAACATTAAAAACTAAAAGTGGCGAAAACTAAAAATCGGAAAATTGAAAAATTAAAGAACTGAAAAATCGAATACATAATTGGAAAAAAATATACAAAATTATGAAACCGACAAATCGAAAGTTGAAAAACTGAAAAACCCAAAATTTTAAATCAAAGGGTTCTAAAATTGAAACATCGAAAATCTGGAAAATAAATAATAGTAAAAAAATGGTTTATTGTATCAAAAATTGAAAAATTACAAATCGAGAAAATCAAAAATGGGAAAAATTAAAAAGCTGAACAATCAAAAGATTGATAAATCGATAATTAAATTAAAAATTTAAAAATTAACTAAAATTTGAAAAAAATGCAAAATCCCAAAAAATCCGAAATGTTGAAAAATCTAAATCAAAAAAAGTCAAATATGTATTGAAAATTACAACCCCGAAATATCGAAAAGCTGAAAAATTGTAAAAATGTAAATCTGAAAAATCACAAAGTTGAAAAACCAAAACTGTAAAATTGAAACATCCAAATATTGAAAAAATAAAAATCGAGTAACTGAAAAATCGAAAAGTAGAAAAACAGGAAAATCAAAAAATTAAAAAAAAAAAATCTGAAATTGAAACATCGAGAAATTGAAGAATAAAATATCGTAAATTGAATAATTAAAAATTAGCTCATTGAAAAATTGAAAAATTAAAAATGGAAAAAATCAAAAATCGGAAAAATGAAAAAATTGAAGAATCAAAAAATTGACAAAGCTATAAATTCCAAAATCAATTATTGCAAAAGTGAATAATTGAGTAATTAAACATTAAAAAATCGAATAATTGAAAAAAAAAAATTAAAAATTTGAAAAACCTAAAAATTGTAAAAGTGACAAATTGAAAAACCAAAATTGTAACATCGAAAGATTCTAAAATTGAAACATGGAAGAACTGAAACTCCAAAAATAGTAAATTAAAAAAAAAAAACGGTTTATTGTAAAATCAAAAATTGAAAAATTACAAGTCGAGAAAATCAAAAATCGGAAAAATGAAAAACTGAACAATCGAAAAATTGACAAATCAATAAATATGTTTAAAAATTTAGTAGTTAAAAAAGTCGAAAAATATAAATTGAAAAATCAAACAAGTATGTACTGACAATTGGAAATTTGAAAAAAACGGAAAATTACAACATCGAAATATCGAAAAGTTGAAAAATTGTACAATTTTGAAGACCCGAAATTATTAAGCTGAAACAACAAAACATTATAAAATAAAAATCGGGAAACGGAAAAATTGAAAAACAAAAAAATTGAAAAAGTCAAAAAGTTATGAAAAAACGGAAAATTGTAAAATTTGAGTATCAGAAGAATGAAAAATGACAAAAATCGAGAAATGGGAAAAGTGAAAAAGGAAAAATTTAGCTACTTGTGGTCACAATAAAGCGTAAATAACCGTAAAACTGAGTAATAAAGAAACGTAAGTAACACCATTTGAAGAAATGTTGACTTCCGAGTGTCGTTTTTCTCCATCGTGAAGAAATTAAAAACGAAAGCTCCAAAACTAACTCTTTCGCGTTTTCGGCGCCCCCGCGGATCTAGATTCCCATAATCGATTTCTCCTCTCTAATTCATCTAATTTCGGAAAAATCGTCGATTAATTGTCGCCGCCAGAGATGGTATTTGCGTGACACCAATTAATTTTCACGTCCATTACCGCGGCGCTATCTGGTGATATTGTACGATCCTAATGACGCCAATTAAAAATAATGATGCCGATAATTATGTGCGAACGAAACTTGTGGGTCGCGACCTTAGAGAGAAAAATCAGGTGCCGATTCTGTTAAGGTATAATTTCGCCGTACGTGTGCTATTCAGACGAACACCACTCATAAATATTTACACTGCGAATCGGCCTTTAATGGCCATCCATTTTTTCAGGAGCGATTACCTAACCCGCCATTTTTATTCAAATCGGTGAGTAATCGATTGCGTCCGTCCATTAATTCATAATTTCATTCCGGAAAAATTATAGTTCGCGTTAGGCGAAACTTGTTTAAGGTCAGCCGTATTTCATAACGGAACCGCGGCGATTAAAATTTTTCAAAATCCCTCAAATGAAATCCTGAAACGGCATTTTTACCAGTCCGCACTCGTAACGTTTTCTCGATTCTTTACATAACTACGGTCTGGTTTATATTCTAAAGGCGTGTCTTGCGGCACGTGTTCTAATATCAAAGTCGCAAATTATTAGTTAAATACGTGCAATTTTACCGACAGCTTTCAGACTTCCGTTAGTCGCGTGTGCGCGAACCTTAAAAGCCGATCTGATCGCTGCCGAAATTGGCAGCGGCCAATTTGCGAACTCGATCTAATAAATAATTCATTGAACTTTGGATGCCACAGCAGAGTTCTAAGGGCAATCAGCGTTACGTAAACCTTCTAATTGCCTGTACAAACAACAACAACAATAACGCACGATTTGCGCTCGGAAAACAATAAAAAACGATAATGATAAATTTTCCAACGTCCAAGGACCCAGCAGACGAGTGAATTGTGACTAGGTACAATGCAGGCTTTGAATGGCTCGTAGATCATTTAACCTTACACCACAAACATAAATCCGAAAACGGTTCCGGAGTGTAAAAACGTGCCCACAATACGTTGTAAAACACTGCAATCAATACGACAACTAAAGCATGGAAAATGTTCCAATTCCCACAGGTAATCACCAAAAACGTAAAAAAATACAGAAAACAATGTTTTCGACTTTTCCAAATTGGGTAAAAAGTGTTAAAGGGGTCGTAAAAATAACAATGGTCGCAGGATGATTAATCCCAGCGTTAACACTTTTATTATTGTTTGGGAAGATAATCATTTCCATTATTAATTAGTGATTTTTTAAGTGGGAAGCTGGCACATAAATCTCGGTTAATGGCTAATGTGAACAAGTTTATTGTACGTCGTGCTATTCCGTTATAATAAAGGCTCATAACAAGAAATATCAATCAGATGTTTTAGTGACCATGTAATGGACTGAAATTGAGAGGTTGCACTCTGTTGGTGGTCCTGCCAGTTGTCGAAAATATCGGAAATCGACTCATACGAAAATTCCAACCGATTTTTTCTGGGTTGCGTTGAATTGTTCAATTTTGTTTTTCCATTATTTAGCTGAAAATCGTCAAAATTGATCGTTAAATTTGCTTGCAGGTGCCTTTATGATGTTTTGCCGCGTCATTGCAAGCTAAAATCGGTAAGTGTGTTAATAAAAACTGGAAATATAAATTGAAACGTCGAAAACAACTCCCACTTTTATCCTCAGTTGAGAATATACGTTTTTTTTTAGTGAGAAACAGTCAACAAATGATTAGAATACTATAAAATGTTAGAAATGTCACAATGTCATCGTTTTTGGGCATTTAAGGATGTTTTTCACCCTTTTTTGGCACCTTTTTTCGCATTTTTGACATCCCTTTGTCGCAATGTCAAATTATATATGTGTATTAACCTAATAAGTTACTCCGGTACATGTGGTTTATGAAATCGATTTTCCAATTTTTCAATTTTTTTTTCAATTTTTGAGTCATTTTTGGAATTTTTTAATTTTTCAATTCTCCAATTTCTCGATTTTTGTCTCTTTCTCTGTTTTCCGATATTTCAGTTTTTCGATTCTTCAATTCTTAAATTTTTCGATTTTTCAATATTGGCGTTCTAAATTTTCGATTTTTTAATTCTCCACTTTTTGATTTCTTGAATTTTCTACTTTACATTTATCGCTGTTTTAATTTTTCAATTTAGAATTGCATATTTCTTATTCCCGATGATTTTCGATTTTTGATTTTTTGTTTTTCGATTTCTCAACTTTTCAATAGATTTTTTGCTATTGAGATATTTTGATTTTTCAAGTTTTGGATTTTTCGATTTTCAGATTTTATTTATTTATTTTCAATTGTTCAGTTTTTCGATGTTTTGATTTTCCAATTTTTTGATTTTGTATGTTCAAATTTTTTAATTTTCCGAATTTTAATTTTTAAATTTAGGATTACATATTTCATTTTCTCGATGATTTTAGATTTTTGGATTTTTCAATTTTTCGACTTTTCGATTTCTCCATCTTTTAATGTTTCGATTTCCCCATGTTTCAGTTTTTTCAATTTTTTTCCTTTTTTCCTTCTCAATTTTCAATTTTTCGATTTCCCCCAATTTTTCGTCATTCAATTTTGGAATGTTTAATTTATTTGATTTTTCAATTTTTCGCTTCTGCAATTTCTTGATTTTTTAGCTTTTGATTTCTATTTTCCGTTATGTCAGTTTTACGATTTATCAGTTTTTCGATTCTTCAGTCCTTAAATTTTTCGATTTTTCAATATTGGCGTTCTAAATTTTAAATTTTTTGATTTTTCACTTTTCGACTTTTCGAATTTTCGGCTTTTCAACTTCAGATTTTTCGATTTTTCGATATTTTGGTTTTCCAATTTTTGGATTTTTCGATTTTCAGATTTTCAATTCTTCAGTTTTTCGATGATTTTACATTTTTCAATTTTTCGATTTTCCCCAATTTTTCGTCATTTCGGTTTTGGAATTTTTCAATTTCTCGATTTTTCAATTTTTCGATTCTACAATTTATTTATTTTTTCTTTCGATTTCTCTATTTTCCAATATTTCAGTTTACAATTTTTCAGTTTTCGATGCTTCAATCCTTAAATTTTTCGATATTGGCATTCTAAATTTTCGATTTTTCGATTTTTCACTTTTTTTTCGACTTCTCGACTTTTCAACTTTAGATTTTCGCTATTTCGACATTTTGATTTTCCAATTTTTCGAATTTTGTTAAGTTTCAATTTTTCAATTTTTCCAAATTTAATTTTTCAATTTAGGACTACATATTTTATTTTCTGGATGATTTTAGATTTTTGGGTTTTTCAATTTCTCGACTTTTTGATTTCTCGATCTTTTAATTGCTCTAGTTTTCGATTTTCAGTACCCGAATTTTCAACTTTAGATTTTTCGCTATTGAAATATTTTGATTTTCCAAATTTTGGATTTTTCGATTTTCAGAATTTCAATTGTTCAGTTTTTCGATGTTTGATTTTCCAATTTTTTGATTTTGTATGTTCAAATTTTTTAATTTTTCGAATTTTAATTTTTAAATTTAGGATTACATATTTCATTTTCTCGATGATTTTAGATTTTTGGATTTTTCAATTTTTCGACTTTTGGATTTCTCCATCTTTTGATGTTTCGATTTCCCCATGTTTCAATTTTTTCAATTTTTTTCCTTTTTTCCTTCTCAATTTTCAATTTTTCGATTTCCCCCAATTTTTCGTCATTCAATTTTGGAATGTTTAATTTTTTTGATTTTTCAATTTTTCGATTCTGCAATTTCTTGATTTTTTATCTTTTGATTTCTATTTTCCGTTATGTCAGTTTTACGATTTATCAGTTTTTCGATTCTTCAGTCCTTAAATTTTTCGATTTTTCAATATTGGCGTTCTAAATTTTAAATTTTTTGATTTTTCACTTTTCGATTTTCCGACTTTTCGGCTTTTCAACTTTAGATTTTTCGATTTTTCGATATTTTGATTTTCCAATTTTTGGATTTTTCAGTTTTGCGATGTTTTGATTTTCCAATTTTGTGATTATGGAAGTTTAAATTTTTCAGTTTTTCGAATTTTAATATTTCAATTTAGAATTACATGATTTCATTTTCTCGATGATTTTAGATTTTTGGATTTTTCAATTTTTCGACTTTATCCTTTTTTCCTTCTCGAGTTTCAATTTTTCGATTTCCCCCAACTTTTCGTTATTTGAATTTACGAATTTTTCAATTTTTTGATTTTTCAATTTTTCGATTCTGCAATTTTTCGATTTTTTCATCTTTTGATTTCTCTATTTTCCGATATTTCAGTTTTACGATTTATCAATTTTTCGATTCTTCAATCCTTACATTTTTCGACTTTTCAATATTGGCGTTGTAAATTTTAGATTTTTTGATTTTTCACTTTTCGATTTCTCGATTTTTCGACTTCTCGAATTTTCAACTTCAGATTTTTCGATTTTTCGATATTTTGATTTTCTAATTTTTGGATTTTTCGATTTTCAGATTTTCAATTTTCTAGTTTTTTGATTTGATTTTCCAATTTTTTGAATTTTAATTTTTCAATTTAGTATTACATATTTTATTTTCTCGATGATTTTAGATTGTTGAATTTTTCAATTTTTCAAATTTTCGACTTTTTGATTTCTCGATCTTTTGATGTTTCGATTTCCCATGCTTCATTTTTCAATTTTTTTCTTTTTTCCTTTTCGGTTTTCAATTTTTCGATTTTCCCCAATTTTCCGTCATTTCAGGTTTGAAATTTTCAATATCCCGATTTTTAAATTTTTCGATTCTGCAATTTTTTTTTTCTTTCGATTTCTCTATTTTCCGATATTTCAGTTTACAATTTTTCAGTTTTCGATTCTTCAATCCTTAAATTTTTCGATATTGGCATTCTAAATTTTCGATTTTTCACTTTTTTTTCGACTTCTCGACTTTTCAGCTTTAGATTTCCGCTATTTCGACATTTTCATTTTCCAATTTTTCGATTTTTGTTAAGTTACAATTTTTCAATTTTTCAATTTAGGACTACATATTTTATTTTCTGGATGATTTTAGATTTGGGTTTTTCAATTTCTCGACTTTTCAGTACTCGAATTTTCAATGTTCCTACCTTTCAAATTTTGATTTTTCGTTTTTTCGATTTTTGCATTCCTCATTTTTTAGGACTTTTCCAATTTTTTTAGTTTTCGATTTCTCAAAGTTTCAGTTCCATTGTTCTGTTTTAATTTTATTTTTTTTTACTTTTCGATTTTTTGATTTCTTTAGTTCTCGATTTTTTGATTTTTCAATTTGCGAATTTTTTTCCATCTTTCTTGTTGAAACTATATCGCATTTTTTTAGGTTTTTTGTTTGACTTTTTTTGTTGCTTTTTTTCTACTTTTTTTGGCCGTTTTTGTATGTCCCACCTTTTCTGATTTTTATTTGTCGTTTCTTTGTCGGCTGTTAGTCATCATTTTCCACTTTTTTATTTTTTTCTTCGCCTCTTTTGTTGTCGTTTTTTTTTTCTTATTTTATCAAATTTTTTTGTGATGTTTTTTTAATCGTTTTATATAGCTATTTTTTAGTTGCTTTTTTTTCAACTGTCTTTTTACAAATTTTTGTAGCTTATTTATACAAAGATATTTATGTATTTTTTATCGCTTATTTTTTGCTCCTTTTTGTCGCCCCTTTTGTGGTTTTTATCGAATTTTTTCTAGGGTTTCTCATGCGTAACTTTTTTAGGTTCTATGTGATTTTTTGTTTTTTTTATCGTTTTTTTTCGCCTTTTTTTGTTCCACTTTTCTTGTTCTTCTTTGGTTTTTTTGGTTCACTTTATTTTCACTTTTTAATTTTTTTGGTCGATTTTTTTTGTTTTTTTTTGTCGAATTTCTTTGTGCTAGTTTTTTATTCTCCTTTTTCCATTCTTCTTGTCGATTTCTTGTCGTTTTTTGGCGATATTTCTTGAGTTTTTCTGTAACTTTTTTTGATCTTTTTTGTCGCGTTTTTATTCGTCTCTTTCTTCTTAGTGCCTTCTATTATGAGCCACTTTCGTTGTCGTTTTTTTACTCCCATTTTTTATCAGATATCTTGACGTTATTTTCTCCGTCATGTTTCTTGTCCTCTTTTTTCTTCCTTTTACTTTTTTGTCGCTCGTTTTGTTGATTTTTTTATCGGAGTTTTTACGCTAATTTTATTCGTCTCTTTTAAGTTTTTTTTCTTTGTCGCAGTTTTTGTAGCTTCTTGTAGATATTTTTGTCATTTTTTTGTCGCTTTTGTTGCACTTTTTTACCTTCTTTTTTGTCGTTTCTTTCATCGATTTCTTTTTCAATTTTTTGTGAACTTTTTATCGTAACTTCTTTTTGATCTTTCTTTGTTGCTTTTATTTACTTTCCTTTTTCTTTCATAATTTTTCGTCGCCTTTTTGTTTGATTTTTTTTATTCTTTTGGTCACTTTTTTATTCTTCTTTTTCTTCTTACCGCCTTTTATACGATCCATTTTGTTATCGTTTTTTTTATCCCTTTTCTCTTGGTCCCTTTTCATCAGATTTCTTGACGATATTTTTTAAATCAAGTTTTTTGCCTTCTTTTTTCTTTTTTTTGTCTTCTCTTTTTTTGTCTCTTTTCTGTTACCTTTTTCATTTCTTTTTTGTCGCTCGTTTTGTTGATTTTTC